CGAAGGTGCACTTTTTAGGATTCAACTTCATCCTGAAGGCGCGGATGTTAGCAAAGGTCTCTTCTAGATCTGCAATTAAGTCATCCTTCTGCTTGGTCTTCACGACTACGTCATCAACATAAGCTTCAACGTTGCGACCAATCTGAGTTGAAAAACACTTCTGGATCATGCACTGATAAGTTGCTCCGGCGTTCTTCAATCCAAAAGGCATAGTAATATAGCAGTAAGCCCCAAAAGGCGTAATGAATGAGGTCCTCAAGCAGTCGGACTCTTTCAAGCTGATCTGATGATAACCCGAGTAGCAATCCAAAAAACTGAGTAACTCACAGCCGGCCGTTGAGTCAACTTCCTAGTCAATGCGAGGTAACACAAAGGGATCCTTAGGATAAGATTTATTGAGGTCGGTGTAATCGACACACATACGCCATTGTCCTGTCTTCTTCTGAACCAGGACTGGGTTTGCCAGCCAATCGGGATGTAGGACTTCCTTGATGAAGCCGGCTGCTAACAGCTTGGTTAATTCCTCCTTGATCGCGTCTTTCCTATCTTTCACAAAACGGCGGAGTCGTTACTTAATGGGTTTAGCGTCTTCCTTAACGTGTAAAGAGTGCTCAATCACCTCCCTAAGAATACCAGGCATATCAGATGGTTTCCACGCAAAAATATCTTTATTAGCTTGAAGAAAGGTGATGAGCGCGCTTTCCTATTTACAGTCTAACTCGGCGCCTATTACAGCAGTTTTGGTGGGATCAGAGGGATCAAGAGGAATTTTCTTAGTCTTGCCGTCGCTTTCTCCGCTCTTTGATATCTTGGGTGCAGGCACTTCTCCTTCGGTTGCTGTTGATGCAGCCAGTCGAATCTCCTCTCGAGCGAGCGTGATCTCGCGTGTTTGTGCCATCTCGCAGCTTTCCTTGTCGCAGGTGACGGCTTGCTTGATGTCACTCTGCAGAGATATGACTCCTCGAGGTCCTGGCATCTTCATCATCATGTAGGTATAGTGTGGGACAGCCATGAACTTGGGTAACGCCAGGCGTCTGAGTATAGCTTGGTACGCTGTCTCAAAGTCAGCAACTTCGAAGCAAATGTTCTCTGTGCGAAAGTTCTCCCGAGTGCCAAAGGTGACTGGCAAGGTGATCTAGCCGAGTGGAGTAGAAGATAGCCGGGGAATGACTCCGTGAAAGGGCGCACTACTTGGCTTCAACTCGGTCCGAGGGATCTGCATGTCGTCCAGAGTCTTGGCAAAAAGGATATTGAGTGCACTGCCACCATCGATGAGGGATCGTCGGAGCTTGACGTTGCGAACCACAGGGTCTAGTACCAGGGGGTACCGCCCCGAGTGGACCACTCAGTCAGGATGATCCGAGTGGTCAAACTTGATAGCTGTCTCTGACCACCGAAGATATTGAGGCGTATCGAGCTGAACAGCATTGATCTCCCATTCAGTCAGCTTTTGCTTTCAGCTTGGATTTGTAAGCTAGGGGCCCACCAAAGATATGGTTGAGTTCCTTGCGAGAGTCTTGAAAACCAGTCGGGGCATCGTCTTCATCATCCTTCTTCTTCGACGTGCTTTGATCTCTGTCAATCGACTTCCGTGCGTTCTTGGCATATTGCTCTGTGAACTGTTTGTAGACGAAGCAATCTTTGGCTGCGTGGTTTGAATTCAGATGATGCGGGCATTGGGCATTCATGATCTTGTCGAAGGTGTTGATGTGTGACCGCTGTCGGGAGGATGGTGTAGTAGTTGCCACAAGTTCCTCGGGCTTACGCTTGCGATCTTTGTGATTGGCACTTCCACTCCCCCCGTAGTCGGCGCATCTTTCTTTGGCTTCCAGGTGCTGCCCGACTGCTTGGATGTAGTGACAGCGTCTTCTACTTTGGCGTACTCATTGGCCTTTTCAAACATTTGCTTGACTGTCTTGGGAGGCTTGCGTCCAAACTTGCCGACTAAGAGTTCATGGCGAATACCCTTAGTGAAGGCGGCGATGATAACGTCATCGGTGATGTCAGAAATCTTGTTACGTTGTTCAGAAAAACGTCGGATGTAATCTCGAAGGGATTCTCCGGACTTCTGGATGACATTGTAAAGATCAAACTAGGTACCAGGGCATTCAAAGGTGCACTGGAAGTTGGCGATGAAGTGCTCGTGAAGCTTCGCCCAAGATCCAATCGTGCCACGGGGTAACCCGTGAAGCCAGGACTGGGCAGAGTCCGCTAAGGTCACTGGCAGATAATTAGCCATGGCTTTGCTATCTCCTCCTGCTGCGCGAATTGCGAGACCGTAGACGGTGAGCCAAGACTCAGGATTTGTCGTGCCGTCATACTTCTCGATTCCAGTCGGCTTGAAGCCGGCTGGCCAATCCACTCGACGCAAGTCACTTGTGAAGGCGGCAACTCCATCCACATCGTCGTCGTAACGATCTAGTGATTGGTAGGGAATGTGGCCTCTCGCCGCACGACGCTGGTTGATAGTATCGCGAAGATCGATGGGACGCCTGCAACGTGGAGAGCGAGGCTGTTCAGCCGGACGCTCCCTGTGTCGGTCGGCAGGTGAGTGAACAGATCGTTCACCATGATCCCTGCTCCTGCGACTAGATCCCGCGCCGGCAACGCTAAGGCTTGGTTGGTGATAGTCTTTAGATCGAAGAGGTGGAACTCGGCTGTCAGTCGGCATACGGACGCTTGAGAAAATCACTGGGACCGAGGCGACGATCATGGTCTTGGTCTGGTTTAAGATGTTGACGACGTGGTCAGGTGCATCTTGCTGAAGTAGAGTGTCCAGAAGGGTAATCGCGGCTACCGCGTTCTGCTGCAGGGTGCGAAAAACCGCCGTCCTTTCAATGTCTTGTTGTCCGATAAGATCTCGTGCTCGTCGCCCAGCCTCCAAGGCGCGCTGTCGCCGGTCCTCAGCCTCCTTTGCGGCCCGTTCACGCTCCTGTTGCTCACGCTGCAGCCGGTCTCGCTCCTATGCTAGTCGCTCCTCCTCCAGTCGGCAACGCTCGGCTTCTTGTCGTGCGCGCTGTTCTTCTGCTTCTCGGGCTTGACGCTGTTCTGCCGTCTCGTTGTCAGCCATGAAAATGCCGAAGAAGAGAGGCGTGTAGTTGTCTTCGTAGCTTTCGTCGAAGTCGTCGAGGTTGCTGTAGTCGTAGTGGTAGCCGAAGTCGTCGTACTCGAGGATCTCCGTCGGTCGAGAATCGACACCGGGGTTGCTAAGGTAGCCATCTAATTCTTCCGTCAAAACCGTCCCGAGAGGTTGGAGTATAACGCCGACTTCCCTGGAGCTAGATTGGATCGGGGCCAAGGCCGGATCCCGTCTAGGCCTACGGGAAGAAGATGTCCTTGTGGTGAAAACAGCGGCCAAATCGTCGGGGAGTTTCATCAGGATTGAGGGATAGGCCCCATCATCTTGATCAGGTCGTGTCGGAGTAGATTGGATCTCGTTCGAGTGGTTTGAAGCCAACTCGGTTGAGATGATTTTGGAGTAGATCTCGGCCGAGTTTGGGATACCGAACGGGACGGAGACCTGGCCTCTCCCTGACTGGTTCGGATCCGAGTCAAGGAGAGAAATCTTGCCAAAGTCGTTGGTGATGAAGTCGAGGCTGCCGAACAGGAACACCTGCTCGGGAGGGAAGACGAAGTCGTCGATGCCGGAGACGAAACCCATCGCACTAGTCGGCGAAGAACTTGACGCTACCCCTATCTGGCGCGCCAACTGTCGAAACAAGATTTCGGCAATACTAAAAGGGGGTGGCTATCAAGCTAGAAAAGTGGATGGGTTTAGAGACAAGGAATTTTATACAGGTTCAGGCCTTCTTAATAAGAAGTAATACCCTACTCCTGTCCGAGGATTGATCCGCCGAGTATATTATTGATCGTATGATCTGAGAGAAAAATCGTGCCCCAAGAGGCACCCGGACCCCTCCTTATATAGGGGAAGGAGTCCGTATTACAAAGTACAGCCCATATTCCTAACGGAATAGGCAGTTATAGATAAAATACAATTGTAACCGACTGAAATCCCGGGTGCTTCCTTGATATACAAGTTTAGGAATTTAACCCGAAACCCTTTAAAGATATTCTATCTATCTATACATGGTACCCCCATACCCAGTCGGATATACATGCCATGTGGGTATGGGGTATCCATAATCTCCACAATTTAGATAAATATCAATACAATTTATCTATTCGTAGCTATGCTACTCAAATTTTATAAAATTAGAACATTATCATCACGGTCATGTTTTCCATCTTCCTCCATCTTGACGTGGGACCCACCTGGAGATTCATCTTCTTCCTTCATCCTCCCATATTCCTTTTTTTCCCATCTTTATCCACCGCTTCTCAGCCTCTTCCACATACATCCATCCTGATCCTTCCTTGCCGCACACAGCAACAGGCCGCCAGAGCAAGTGGGAGTACCTCGCTACTAGACGCCGTCGATTGAGTAGGCGAGCGTGCCGTCATCGTGCATCCATTGGTGCTTCTCCCGGCCGTAGGTCGAACTCGTTGCCACAGTCGTGCACCAAACATCGAGTAGTTCTTGCATTGATTGAGTAGGCAACGGAGGTCAGGGACGTGGACTCCCGCGTTGGCGAGGGTAGAGGCATACTCTGCAGCGAGGAGGGGGTCGGGATGGATTGGTGGGGAGGATGCTAACAAGTGGTGGAGAATAGGGAAGAAAAGAGAAGAGGGGAAGATGGAGGAAGAAGATGAATCTGACAGGTGCTTCCCACGTGTAGATGAGGAAGAAGATGGAAAAAGTGACAGTGCTGTTATGATTCTAATTTTATAAAATTCGAGAGACATGGTTATGAATAAACGAATTATAACGATATTTATATGAATAGACACATTTATAATGGTATGAATCAAATTAACCTTTTTAAGAACAGATGCATAGATACGCGTTACAACAATTGATGGACCTGAAGCCAATGTATAGGCCACCCACGTGACACATCCAACGATTAAAAAAGAAAAGAAAAAAGAAAAAAGAGCCGAATTCGGCACGAGTAATAGGGGGGCAGCCACCACACCACACCACACCACACCACCACCGATCCCCTCTCTCAGCGGCTGCCTGCCTGCCTGCCTGCCTGAACGAGGAATCGCTCATCGCTGCATCACTGGTAACGTCTATCTCTCCTCTCGCTCGCTCGCTTCCTCTCCGATTCCCCCATGGAATCATGGATCCATCCAACTAATCCCCTCCCCTCGCAGCCGCAGACGCCGGCGTGGTCGGGATGGGGCGGCCGCCGAGCACGGGGGGCCCGGCGTTCCGGTTCACCCAGGCGGAGGTGGCCGAGATGGAGGCCCGCCTGCAGCAGCTCAACAACGCCATCCCGCACCGCTCCGTCATCCAGGCCCTCGCCGACAAGTTCACCTCCTCCCCCGCCCGCTCCGGCAAGGTCGCCGTCCAGCCCAAGCAGGTTACCATTAGGGTTTTCCTCCCCCCTCCTCCTTCCTCTTCCCCCTCCCTGGCGGGGAATTCGCCGCCTCATCTCGATCCGGCCGCACTCGCAGGTGTGGAACTGGTTCCAGAACCGGAGGTACTCGCACCGCTCCAGGAGCTCCAGGGGCCCCCCGACGCTGATGCAGACCAAGATGCTGCCCACGGGGTCCGACGAGCACAAGTCGCCTCCCTTCAGGGCTATGCCCTCTGCCTCTGCGCACTCCGGCTCGCCCTCAGGTCATTTGCTCATGTTACTCTTGCTATTAGGAGTAGGTAGTGGTATATCTCCGGTTTCAACAATTTTATAATGGCACCGTTCCGACTAGACGAATAGTAATGGTATTTTTCAAAACAGGCAAATTTATAATGTCATGGATCCAATTAACCCTATAAGTAATGAGATACTTCGGCCATATGTCAGATCCGTGTATTGGTTCTATGTTAGTAACCTTCCATCTATGCATCATGATCATTGTTTATCATTCCTTTTTATCCTCTGATTGTTGATCTTTGGTGTTCAAAATCAGGGAAGGGTTCTTTGGAGAGCGGCCAGGTTGAATTTGAAGCAAAGTCGGCTAGAGATGGCGCATGGTATCCATGTTACTTCTATGTCTTTTGTCTTTTGATTTCCATGTACGAGTAGGTTCATGGCGTTTTGCTTGCTGTTTGACACATAGTTATCAGACTTGGACCAAACTAGTGGTCTGACTGGAATAAACTGAACCTAAAGTTCTGGCTTGATCAGCCCGTCTAATTGGATTGTTTCCCATATTGGCCTGCAAATCATAGCTGAACTGACCAGTTTTCCTACAGCCTGGTGGGGTTAACTATGACACAGCCCATTTATTCAGTAAAATTCAAAAATAGCATGGACAACAGTAAACCTCCAGATGCACCTGTGTTATTGGTTAACATTGTAAGTGAGAAATATAAGTTCTATTAACCTTGCCTGCACAGATCACAAATTGATAGCTTTCTTATTATAAAATAGAGCATGTGGTTTGACTGATGGCCGAATGATCCATCTGTGACTGAGTGATTCACAGGTCATATCTTGCAATTTAGTATTTCACTGTTTTGGATGGTTTTCTTTGTTCTGTATTCTTTATAATATGCTCTATACTGAGTTTAAGTTTAACGATTGCTTCTTAATCACCATTCTAACTTCTAAGCAGCATACTTGTTTGTTATATAGGTTTGTATCTCAGTTTTGCTGACTTTATTATGAAGAGAATTGCTTGCTATAGAATTGTCAGATACTGTTAAATTAGGTTTCAGTTTTCTTTATTGATCTGTGTTTTTTTTTTATGTTTGTGTTCATATCTACAAAGTTGAATACAAGACCCCATTTGGATGCCAGAACTGAGGCTAGAAAAGGGGAATTAGAATTGGATCTCTCAATTCCGTCGTTGGTTGCTCTTCTGATTTGGAGTTGTAGGCCATTTCCGACTGAATCGGTGGACAACTAAATTGGTCCTCCACCAATTCAGAGCACTATGATTGGAGCTTTCACTGGATCTTTCACTGGTGACCATTCACCAATTTCTTGTGCCACTATCACTGTTTCACGGTCTATTTTCTAGACCTACAGCTGCCATCCCTTCTTTCACCACTCCAGTGGCCATTTCCTTCTTCCTTAACTCTAGCAGTCATCCTTCATCTTTCTCAACTCTGGTTGTCAGCGTCCCTGACAAAATCTGCTGTTAAGCTGTCTACTTCCCTAGTAGCCGCTGTGGCCATTGATTGCTCTGGTCAGCACACCAGTGATGCTCCAGCCACCACTTCGGCAACTACCCAAGAAGGAACATCAGGCCTCCTGGTTTGTTTGTTTGCTTCCAATGTGCCAATTCATTTGCGTATTGCATCCAACCTTAAACTGGATATTTATTGAGAGGTCATTTCTATTTGAGATGCCTTTGGCAACCAATCACAATGAAAATAATTGAGATGACAATTCGAATTCAATTTGGATTTGAATTGAAGATCCAACTAAATTCATTCAACCCAATGTAGAGGGGAACTGGTTACGCAAGATCTCTTTTAACATCTGATTAAGTATATCAGCATTCTTATGGTCTGTCATTCATATAAGTTCACTTCTATGGTAGTGGTAGCCATCCTAAACAAATGTATATTTGTGCTCAACGAATATTGTGCCTGATCATTAACTACAAATGCAAATGAATCAACGAGTTCAGATACTTTCTACACTATGTTCTTGAAAAATTGTAATCTCTGTGTTTTTACATTTTTTTTTGTGTATAACTAAGCTTTTATGTGCAGGTATGATGTTGCTGCCTTCCTGTCTCATCGGTTGTTCGAATCTGGTGATCCAGTAAGGATCATAGTTTTTTTATTAGATATAATTTATGTTGCTAAATGCATGTCTGGCTTTCTTTATTGAAAGCACTTTGCTAGCTTTGAACCTGTAGCTGATTCGATTTATATCATTTATCTTAATGCGGTTGCATACTCAATCCTTTTTCTTTAATTATTTTTTAAAAACAAGTTTCTACTGCATTATTGGTGTTCTAGTATGACTTTCAGAACATTCTGTATTTTTTAAAAAAATCTGGCTTATATCTAAAATTGGCACTACAGTTGAATAATTTTTTTCCAACATATGCCAATATGACATGCCTGCGTTGTTGTGCCGGTATTTTTATAAAACTGTGTATACACAATGACATTTATTCCTAGTTACAACATGTGGTATAAATAATTTGTCTCACATGAGCAATTCTTAATATTTTAGGAAGTACGAGTTCGCTTTTCTGGATTTGGAGCCGAGGAAGATGAATGGATAAATGTCCGTAAATGTGTGCGGCAACGTTCTCTTCCGTGTGAATCAACTGAATGTGTTGCTGTTCTTCCTGGAGACCTCATACTTTGCTTTCAGGTCTTGCCATCTTAGACATCTTTTCTTGACCTATGTACTGTATCTACATGTCACAGATTCAGAATTGATGTGTAGTTGAATTCAAAATTTTAATTTTAAGTTAGAAGATTGATTTCTGTTTGTTCTGTTCTAAAAAAATGTATCACAGATTTTCCTTAAAACATGGCCAAAAAAAGTCATGCATATTTGATACTTGATGCACAAAACACCAAGGGGTGTAAAACTGTAAACCAGTAATTGAACACACATTTAGGTTCCTGCTTTTTAAATAAAGAAATCTAAACATAAATATATGTTCTTCGATGATTATCTTGATGAAATGCTATTTATAATTATGATTAGGTATCACATTTACTCAAATTGTTGTCTAACATGAACAAATACATCTGTCCTAAATTGACCAGGAAGGCAAAGAGCAGGCTCTGTATTTCGATGCTTGTGTCCTTGATGCTCAAAGGCGTAGACATGATGTACGAGGGTGTCGCTGTAGATTTCTTGTTCGCTACGATCATGATCACTCTGAGGTATTTTACTCACTGCATTCACCCGTTGAATGTTGTGTGACTATTGTAGTAATGCATGCTCTAAGAATCTAATTTATTCTCTTACATTATGGCTTTAATGATATACTTCATAAGTAAAGCGTCGTTGTTTAAGTTCCTGAACTTGCATACGCAATTCCATCAACGCTTTACTGTGCAAGTTTAACGACCTTATGCATATGATATTAGCTTGTGCACGTTATACCCGTGAGTACCATATGTTGTAGCATCATCCTATAGGTTCCTGTAGAAGTTTAAGCAATTTTTATTTATGCTCTAGATGTGGAATTTTAAGGACACCATGCAAATTTATATTCATCATCTCTGAAAATTTAAGTATGCATGCATAGATTTTCCAAGTTCATATGATATTAGCCCATGCATCCTGCTGTCTTGCGCCTTTCTTATTTTTTATTGCCGAACTACCTAAAATAATGTATTTTACCGGGCTTTTGCTAGTTATTTCACTTTGTTGAATAAAACTAAAACCTTATTGTGTTTTACTCTGATTCGTTTACAATCATTAAAATTCCATTTAAAATGACAGGAAATTGTTCCACTGAGGAAGGTATGTCGCCGACCAGAAACTGACTACAGGCTTCAGATTCTGCATGCTGCTAGAGCAGCAGGTATGGCTAAAGAGGCTGTGGTTGATTTGGTGTCGCACAATGATAAGAGCTCAGCGGAGCAGAAACCCCCAAAGCAGCACAAAATGATGGATGTGAACACTGATGAGGTAACCATGGTTTCTAACCAAGACCAAGAAGAGCCAACAGGCAAGCCTGCTGCTACCTTGCCAGCAGCACCGGTCAAAACCCTGAATGATTCAGCTTCAGCTTCAGCTTCAGATGTCCAAATGGGCGAGGCACAGGCTGCTCCAAAAGTTGAATCTTCTGATGAAGTAGAAGACAAGATGAAAGAGGGATAGTTGGTTGCCTTTGCTGAGCATTATGTTTGGCTGGCGGCTGCAGTAAACAGCATCTGGTTAAATGCATTGGCATCTGATCACCTGTTCTCCTGCTAGGCTGCTACACACATGTTGTGACTTCCAACGCAGGAATGTATGTCTTCAGTCTTCACAACACATGTTGTGACTTGTGAAGATTTAGTAATTGCTTAGGAACCCTCTCAAAAGGGTAAATATGATTGTTAGGAACTTTAGCTCCAAACATAAATTGATTGCATAGGAACTTTAGCTCCGAAGAAAATGTAATGTGGTTGCGGTGGGATTGACTTGATTGCTGTCACACAAATTCGGCCGAGGATCCGTGTTGACCACAAATAGGACTGGCCTGCCATGCCACAACTAGGATCTGTGTTTAATATAGCGTGCCAAATAGGTGTGAATCGGTGCCTTTGAAGGTTATCATCAATTGTTCTGAAGGTAAAATTTCTCAGGAGAAAGTCTAATATACATTCTTGTGAATTTTGGTCGGGTTTGCGGAACTGCATTTAGAATAGATATATTCTGTTTGTCCACTAAGGGGGTGTTAAGATCCCACCCCAAAATTTTAATCATGTCACATCGAACGTTTGAACACCTATATAAATATAGGCTAACAAAATAACTTATTGCACAGATTGCGACTAATTTGCGAGACGAATCTTTTAAGCCTAATTGTTCTATAATTTGACAATGTGGTGCTACAATAAATATTTGTTAATGACGGATTAATTATGTTTAATAAATTTATCTCGTGGTTTACTGACGGATTATTTAATACTTCAAATGGGTGTTCGTATATATTCCATGTGACACATGAAAACTTTTACACCCCTAAATCTAAACACAATCTAAGATTGATGTCCGTTGATGGGGGCATGATCCGCACAGGTCATCCGACTTTACCGATCTTGTGCATTCTTCTGAGCCGGTGGGTGATGAGACCAGCAGATCTTTCGTTAGAGTCTTCTGGTGGAAGACCAGCAAATAAGTTTAAAATCTTGTTGGGTAATGGAGATTCTGAAATTTTATGCATCAAGAATACCAATTTAAGGGCGCATTTGATTTGTAGAAAAAATATAGTAAATTTAAAGGATTTTAATTCTATAGGAATTTGATTGAATTCTGTTATTTCCCTTTTAAAATTCTATTAGAATGGATAATCATGTAGAGATTTTAGAGGAAAGTTAGCAATTATTAATATCTTAGGAAAAATTTTCTTCAATTCTATCTTTCATTTGATTCCTATGGTTTTCTGGTTTTCCTACGGTATATTTGAATGACTATTCCTGTGTTTTTTATTTGTTTTGCATTCGCATGCCTATGAATATTCTACGTGTTTTCTATTCTTCTTTTAAAATCCTATTCTTGTCACTTGCATTTGATTTGCCACCGTAGAGCTGTTTGTTGCACTAAACGGATGCATTGTAGAACAAGTATCCTGATCCTGCTTCCTAGAGTTTGAAACTATCCAGGATTAGGAAGTCTATGACTTAAGATTTGGGAAAAAGAAACTGGATATGTTTTTATCAATATATTCCTTTCAAAAAAAATTGTTCCTATCGATATCTTAATGCAGTCATGGAAGTTGTGTTTCGTTTCATCTATCTGTATGTATTTTTTTAAATATGGAACAATTGCTTATCTGACCCTGTTTCAAATGCTAGCTATCAATTTGAACTCCTACATCTCAAAATCGAACCCTATTTGCACTAAACCATTTAGGGTTTCATTTTCGCAAAAGAAAAAAATTATTTATTCTCTAACAAACCAAAATTACCTCCCTTTAATCTTATACATTTCCCGACCTCAATACATGACCCTTATCTCTCTCTCTCTTGTTTCTCTCGGTGCAAGCGGCAGCTGCGGTGGCGCCGACTCGCGGGGTGGCAGCGTAGGTGCACGGAGGGTGAGGCGGTGGCAACAGCAGCACCAACACGTGTAGAGAGGGGACGGCGGCGCCGAACGCGGAGGGAGGAGGGGGTGGTGGTGGCACGAAGAGAGGAGGGCGGTGGTGCCAGCGCAGGTGGCGGCACGGAGGGAGGAGGGGCGTAGCCTCCGCCTAACGTTATGCCTCGAATGAAGGGAGGTGGCACCAGTGTAGGCGCGTGAAAGTTGGGGCACACCCTACGTGGGCCCCACTTGGGCCGGGATCCCAGACAAAGTTACAAGCCCATAGACCCATTACAGGTGACACATCACATTGTTTTTTCAATTGCGGCTAAATGAAATGGAATTTCACAATGAGGTTGGATCCTTGGAAAGAGAACTCCGAGAGCTTTCCATCAAGTACTCGTGGACCCAAAACGGAGCTCGTATGCATATTTGGCGGCCGTTTGAAGTCAACAATGTAGTAGGTGGCCGAATCGAATTCCAGCACTTGGAGGACTTGATCTTGTTGTCTTCTTGTTGATCCATGATATAAGCAACGGTTGTATCCATAGTATCCATGGTCACATTAGGTCGGAGGTGGCGGCAGCGGTGGCAGCACTGGCGCCTAGAGGGAGGAGATAGCGGCGCGGGTGTCGGTGCAGAGAGAGGAGGGGGGCGGCAAGGTGGCAGCACGGAGCGAGGAGGGGCTACTTTGTGTCAAATTTTGTTTATTTTGTTTTGTCAAAAATATGTCAAACTGATTCAACTTTATCAAATTGAAGCCAAATCTATCAAACTTGTGTCAAATGTGAAAGATATGTCAAATTCGTTACAACTACGTCTAAAGGTCTGAATATATGCACGTTTTGACATAATAGAGTCGAATAAGGAAGGGCATAAGGGACTTATTTGCCCCTTAGTTAACAATGTTAACTTGTCTTAATGGAATATGGTCTACTTTCATCTTCGATTTTGAAAAGCATGGTCAAATAAGCAAACTAAAAAAGTAGGGTCAAATTGATAGTTAGCCTTCAAAATAGCCCCTTTGAATATACACGACCAAAAGATTTAGGGACAATTCCTTATTTGACCCCGTTTTAGACTCTAACTACCAATTTAACCCTACTTTTTGGAGTTTGCTTATTTGACCCCCCGCCCCCCCCTAAAAAATAAAGCTCACGTCTGACCCTGTCTCCACTCCTCCGTTAAGGTTTGATTTTTTTTAAAAAAAAATGTGATTATTATTCGTAATGCCTAAAGTACCCTCGTATACCCTATCCATCCAAACCCTATCCACAGCTCTTTGTATCTCTCGTGCTTGTGGGCTTGCGGCGGCGGCGGCAGGTGGTGCAGCGGCGATGGCGGCGCTCTGAGGAAGCGGCGAGGCGTCTGCGGGTGCGACGGCGGCGTAAAGCCGACCCCCGCTCGGCAAACCCGCGCCGGCACCCAGCCTTGAAGAGAAGGAGCGGTGGCGGTGGGAAGCGGAGAAAGGGGGCGGCGGCGGCGGCTCGCAGAGGAAGGGAGTGGTGGCGGCGGGATCCACGCCGGCGCCCGGCCATGAAGGGAAGGAGCGGCGGCGGCGGGAAGCGGAGGAAAGGGGCGGCGGCGGCTCATGGAGGAAGGGAGCGGCGGCGGCGGGAAGCGCAGGAAGGGGGCGACGACGACGCCTTCCTCGACCTGCTGCGGCGGAAGAGCATCCGCCTGACGAGCGAGCTCTTCTGCCAGCTGCGCGCTGTGGCAGCGGTGGAGTCGGCCGGCGGCCGGGGCGGCAGCGGCATGCACCGTTCTTGCAGCACGCCTTGACCTTCTTGGCGTTGGCCTTCTTGATTTGGCCGATGCAGGAGACCTTGGGCGACGGCGGCTCGGGCGTCAGGTGGCTCCCACCACGCGCCTTCGGCGGGACAATGGAGACGATGGGGCCCGAGAAGGCGCGCACCAAATCTGTCATAACTGTGTCAAATTTTGTTTAATTTATTTTGTCAAAATTCTATCAAATTTGACAAAATGATTCAAATTTGCCAAATTTATGACAAATCTGTCAAACTTGTCTTCAATGTGAAACTTATGAAAAAATTATTACAAATATGTCAAAGTATTCAAATATATACACGGTATGACATAGTAGGGTCAAACAAGCAAGATATAATAGGGTCAAATAAGCAAGGGCAAAATGGACTATTTACCTCTAACTTAACACCATGAACTCACCTAAAAGGAATAGGGTCAGAGAGGAGCTTCGTTTTTTAAAAGGAGGGTCAAATAAGCAAACTCCAAAAAGTAGGGTTAAATTGGTACTCCCTCCGTTTCACAATGTAAGTCATTCTAGCATTTCCCACGTTCATATATATATATATATATATATATATATATATATATATTCATTAATATCAATATGAATGTTGGAAATGCTAGAATGACTTACATTGTGAAACGGAGGAAGTAGTTCCAAAACGGGGTCAAATAAGCAATTGCCCCAAAGATTTATTCACGCTGGACCATACGTACACACGCATAAATCCACAAATGCATCCACTAACACACGTTCAAAGAGACAAGACACTAGCGACATATTCCTGATCTCACTATAATCCTATTTAAAGCTTACATATTGTAGATATTTCTTAACGGTATTACTAGAAATATAATTTCCAGCAATGGCACTGAAATATTCTTGGTATATTTATGGTCACAGATATGATCTGTAAGCGTACGAATATACCATTGTAGTAATCTAAGGTATTGTATTTATTTAATCCTAATGGAAGATATGATAAGATAATACTATGCTAACAATTCATATATTACTTGTATTCATCAAAGTCTATGCATGGGTTAATTAATTTTTAGGTAGGATAAGGTTGACACATAGAAGAAAGATTTAAGGACTACTCCGCTAAAATAAAATCTAGGCTAAGTGGAGAATGAATATGAAAATAATCATTCCTATACTTCTAGTATATAAATATCTATAGTTTACACTTGCTAGTATACAATCATATAGCCAATACCCTCTAACTATGCCCTCCTGATGTTTCGAGAGACCACACCTGATTGCCGAGTTCCTTACGACAATCCGTCATGGCCATCTGACCAGAAATGAATACAGAGGAGTACCCATATCAGGAAAATGTCTTAGAATTATATACGAACGTGAAGAAATACCCGTACTGAGTTGTCATCATCAGCGGCCCACCTCTATTGACCCATGGCATATAACCCCAAAGAATAATATCTAATAATTTAAGCACCACACTTACATTATTAAATACTACTCTACACCCTCGCGATCGATATAGAGCAATCATTTGCATATCTCTGGTAAGCTAGCTACACAATTATATTGAGACAAGTACGAACTAAAGTCGGTACTCAAATAATATGAATTATGTAAAAGAACGAAGCTATATAAAGAAGAATATTTTATTAATGCTAAAGTATTACAAAAGAAGGGTAGTTGGGCTTATTCGTAGGTGTTAAAATGGTTTTGTAAGCCAATCATTCTAAAAGTCTGCCACTCGACGGATGACGATTGATTGTTCAGTTAATTTCCGTCGATTCTCTTTCATTTATGCAGCAATCTCTGAAATCAAATAATATTCCAAGTACAAGTA